CTTGTCTGTCTCTTCTCTAAAATTGCTACCCTGAGATTACTCGGGTGTCGGGGCTGGTGGGGACGCGGTAGAGAGGAAAAGTGTTTTGCTGAATCCTGTATCCTCCAGACTAGAACTGTTGCTGGTATGTGGCGAGTTTTCAAGAAATATTGGTGGCATGAATGAGTGAATGAATAAATAAACAAATGAATGAATGAGTGAACGAATGAATGAATGAATGCATGAAAAATGAATGAGTGGAGCTGAAGCAACAGAACAGTGGGCAGAGTGCTTGCTTTGCCCAACCCGGGTTAGATCTCCAGCACCCCATAGGGTCCCCCAAACCCCGCTAGGAGTCATCCCTGAGTGCAGAGCCAGGAGTAACTTCTGAGCACTGCTGGGTGTGACCCCCCCAAAAAATTGAGTGATTGATGATATGTGATGAAGGAAGGAACAAATAAAGGACTGAGTGAATGGGTCAGTGCATGAGCGAGTGAATGAATGAATGGATGAGGGAGTGAGTGGATGAATGAAGGAGTGAACGAATCAATGAGTGAGTGGAACCGAGGAGGGGGAAAGACAGCAAGTGTCCCCGTCTTACAGAACCCAGAGTCTCTTGTAATCCCCTCTCTGGACAGCAGGGGACGCCGGAGTCCAGGACCCAGTCGGCGGCGCCCCCCCTCCCCCACCCCCGCATCTCCCTGGGATGCTGGGAGCTGGGGACAGGCACGCGGATCCAGGGGACGAAAACCTGCAGGCGCTGGGGGCTCGTGTCCAGCAGGCACAGGGACCCGAGAAGCTCGTGGCCTTCCGAGTTCTCCCAGGTGTAGCTTGAGGGCCTCCAAGACGCTGAGGAGGCCCCCAAATAAATCTCCCTGTCCTGCAAAACCTCCTGGGCACTTCCTCCCATTCCCTTCGTGTCTTTGTGTTTTTGGGGGCAAGGGGGGGACGACTTGGGGAGGGGGGCTGAGGCACCTCTGCGGGTGACCCAGGATGATCCCTGGCAAAAGTCCCACGCCAGTCCTTGGCACCACCTCCAGGCCCCCGTTTCCTCCTTTAAAGTAAGTAAAGTAAAGGCCCTCCCGTTGATCATCGATATGCTCGAGCGGGCCCAGTAACGTCTCCATTGGAGACTTTGTTGTTACTGTGTCTGGCATATCGAATACTCCCGGTAGCTTGCTGGGCTCTCGAGAGGGGCGGAGGAATCAAACTCGGGTCGGCCATGTTGGCTGCATGCAAAGCAGACGCCCTACCCGCTGTGCTATCGCTCCAGCCCTTTAAAATGTTTTTTTTTTTTCATTTTTATTCATTTATTTATTGCTTTTTGGGTCACACCCGATGTTGCACAGGGGCTACTCCTGGCTCTGCACTCAGGAACTCCTGGCATTGCTCGGGGGACCATATGGAATACTGGGAATTGAACCCCGGTTGGCCGTGTACAAGGCAAATGCCCTCCCCACCGTACTCTTGCTCCAGGCCCTGTTTTAAATTTTTAAAGGTTCGAAGCCTAAGAGACAGTACAGCGTGGGAGGTGTTTGCCTGCCTTGGATGTGGTCAGCCTTGGGGTTTTGTCTCTTTCCTGTTGTTGTTGGTTTGTTTTTTTTGAGGGGGGGTTAGGGCTGGGGCCACACCTGACAAATACTCCGGGGTCACTCCTGGCTCTGCACTCAGGAATCTTTCCAGGTGGGACTCAGGGGACCATATGGGTGTCAGCGATCAAACTTGGCTTGGCTGCGTGCAAGGCAAGTGCCCTTTCCACCGTACTATCTCTCTGGCCAGGACATGGGTTCTATCCCCAACACCCCATTAGTAGCGGTCAGGAGTGAGCACAGAGCCACGAGTAAGTCCTGAGCAACTCCAGGAGTGGCCCCAGAAAACAGAGAAAGTCGGAGGGAGAGAGAGAGAGAGAGAGAGAGAGAGAGAGAAGAAACTCAGCTTGTATTTTGTTTTGTTTTTGAGCCACACCTGGGTGATGCTCAGGGCTGACTCTTGACTCTGTGCTCAGGGATCACACCTGGCAGTGCCTGGGGGACCCTACGGGATGCCGGGGGTCGAACCTGGGTTGGCTGCATACAAGGCAAATGCCCTCCCGCTGTCTTATTGCTCCAGCCCCAGAGATCAGTATTAAGTCAGTCATTCTCCTTACACTGCTCTGTGAAAACCGGGTTTGATTTCGGGGCTGTCCTTGTTGGGGGCAACTCCACATTCTGTGTTCAGTCACTCCTGGAGACGCTCCTGGTGGGGATGGGGGGGCGGTCACAGGGATTGAACTCAGATCTCCTGTGCACACAGCACATGTTCATCCTGCTGGTCACCTCCTGTCCCAAACCCCAGTCCTTTATGCCACTGAGCCAACGGCCCGGAGCGCGGAGTGCCGCTTTCTCGCATGAAGAATGGCGATTGGTTCCCGTTGGGTTAATCAATGTCATCAAGTATTTATGCCCTCTAGTGTCGGGGCTCCATGCCAGGGCTGGAAATAGCACGGCAGTGGAAAAGTAAGTACGCAAGCCAGGCAAAAAAATCTCAAATTCATGGAGATAGTTCATGCAGAGTTCTGAGTGCCAAGGCCAGCATTTCAGACCATCGTTCTGACTGACAAACTTATTATACTCCTCAATTTAGTTTAGTTTGTTTGAGGGCCACAGCCAGCAGTGCTCAGGGCTGGCTTGCGCCTGGCTCTGCGCTCAGGGGTCATTCCTGGCGGGCTCAGGGGACCCTATAGGGTGTCGGGAATCGAACCTAGGTTGGCCATGTGCAAGGCAAATGCCCTCCCTGCTGTGCTATCATGCGGTCACTCCAGTTCCATACCGCAATATTTCTTTTTGTTTTGTTTTGGGGCCACACTGGACAGTGCTTGGAGCTTATTCCTGGCTCTGTGCTCAGAGATCACTCCCGGTGAGGTCAGGGATTGAACCCAGGGTGGCCGTGTGCAAGGCAAGCACCCTCCCTGCTGTACTATGGCTCTGCCCTACACCCTAGAAATGTTTCTATTTCTAATCATGTCATATTGCCCTTTTTCTTTTTGCTCTTTGGGTCACACCCAGCAATGCAGAGGGGTTACTCCTGGCTCTGCACTCAGAAATTACTCCTGGCAGTTCTCGGGGGACCCTATGGGATGTTGGGAATTGAATTCGGGTCAGCCGTGTTCTATCTACCTGCTATGTCTGTCAGCTGTGCTATCGCTCCAGCCCCCACATTGCCTTTTATTTAGTAATTTTTCACTGAGTGACTGCTTGTTTTATGTTCTTGTTTTGGAGTCACACACAGCGGTGCTCAGGTCTGACTCCTGGCTCTGTGCTCAAGGATTACTGCTGGTGGTGCTCAATGGATTGGATCTTCTGGGGTGCTGGGAAATCAAACCTGGATGAACCGCGTGCTAGGTGAATTCCTTAGCCACTGTACTATCTCTTTGACTCTCATTAATCAGTTTAACCAGTGTATCAAAAATTTTAACTAAATATATTGAGCATTTTATTACATTGCATCATATGTAATTATATATAGATACATTATAACTTTTAGGGGTCCACACTCTGCTGTGCTCAGAGCTTGCTTTTGGCCCTGTGGTCAGGGATCACTCCTGGTTGGCTTAGAAAACCCTCTGGAGTGTGCCCGGGATTGAACCTTGGTTGACCTCTTGCCAAGTAAGGGTCCTACCTTCTGTACTATCTCTGTGACCCAGATACATTGTAATTGTATTGAATCATCATAAAACATTACCTAACAATGCTATATTTTATAATTAAAATTAGTATTATAGTTAAAATATTGTGCATAACAAAATTATTTTATTAAATTTACTTTAGTTTTATTTATTTCCTTGGCTTTGGAACCACATCTGGCAGTGTTCAGGGCATACGCCTGGCTCTCTGCTCAGAGATCATTCCTGGCAGGGCTCAGGGGACCGTGAGGGATGCTGGGATCTATCCTTAGCAGGCCATATGCAAGGCAAAAGCCTTACCCGCTGTACTGTCTCTCCAGCCCAATAAAATGAATTCAGTAAAACAAATTCATAAATTCTGATTGTTTATAAACATAATTTGTAAGCATAGCTGGAGGCAGGGAAGGGGTGTTACTTTCACCCATTACAGCTGGCGGTGCTCAGGGGACCATATGGGATGCTGGGAATCGAACTCGGGTTGGCAAGGCAAATAAATGTCCTACCCGCTGTACTATCGCTCCAGCCCCCAACCACCTGTGATTCTCAGTCCACCTTGGTAGGAAGTTCAGTGCAAGGGTCTGATGAGGGGGCGCTGGGGCGCCGGGGCCACATTCTGTCCCTTACCCAGAGGACCAGCATGGCTGGAACTGAATCCATCGGGATTAGGCGTCTGCTCTAACCGCAGTACTATCTCCCTGACCCATTATTAATATTATAGTTATACATTACAAGAAAGATAGACTTTAATACATATTATAATTTTTTCTGGTGTGGGGGGTCATATCTGCGGGTTCTGGGGCTTGCTTTGGCCGACCATGCAAACCACCACGGAGCAAACCCAGGCTTGCAAAGTATGTGCTACAACCTCTAAAGCTATTCCTCGGGGTTCTCTTTTCCTTTTTTTTTTCATAAATAGTCTCTTCACGCCGCTATTTCCATCTAATATTTGGGAGAGCGGTGTTCCAAGAGAAAGAAGCGACACTTCCACTTATGAGCTTCAGGGGGCGCGCGCGGAGTCCGCGGGGGCGGCTCCCTCTTGGGCCTCGCCTCCGAGTTCTGATTGGCCATTCCGGAGAGGCGCAGTGACGTAGCCTTAGTCCCGGCCCACAGGGCCCCGCCCCGTTCCCGCCCTCGAGCCCGGATTGGCGGCGCGCAGGGACGCTCGGCCCCGCCCAGACCCGCCGGGCCGCGCCTCCCCGCGCCCGCCCTCGAGCCCGGATTGGCGGCGCGCAAGGACGCCAGGCCCCGCCCCCGGCCCGCCGGGACCCGCCCCCCGCTCCGGCCCACCGGCCCGGATTGCCGGAGCGCGCGCTGCGCGATGACGCAGGGCCCGTCTGGCCCCGCCCCTGGCCCGCCCTCCGCCCTCGGGCCGCGGCTGGTTGTTGTTCAGCCGCGCGGCCGCGCTGGGCTTCGGGTCCCGCGTCCACCGGCCGCGCTGTCCGTTCCGCGCGCGGCCATGGAGCTGGAGGTGTCGGACGAGGCGGAGAGCGCCGAGGCGGGCGTCGTGACCTCGCAGGCGGCCTGGGCGGCGGAGAGCGGGGCGGCGGCGGCAGGTAACGGGCCGCTGGGGCTCCCGGATGGACCGGCCGGCATCCCCCCGCCCGCACGCCCGGGGGACGCAGTGGACCCGCCCGGGCGTGCAGGGGGGTCGCGGCCCGCGGGGGCGGGGGCCCGCGCGGCGCGCGTGGGGTGCGGTGGGGTGCCCCGGGCCGGCGCGGCTGCCCAGTGCGGGGGGCCTGCGCGCTGGCCGCACGGCGTCCGAGGGTGCGTCGCGGGGGAGGTCGGGGGGCTGCTCGCTCCGCGCCGGTGCGCGGGATCGTGCCGGGGGGCCGAGCCCTTTCCGGGACGTGCCCCCCACCCCCTTCTCCGAGCAACCAACTGCCCCGGCCTCGCCCCTTCCCACCCCCTTCCCCCCGACCGTGTAGGAAAGGCTGGCGGGGGGCGGGGGTGGGGAGTTGTCTTTGCAATGTGGGTCGCGTTCTCTGTGTGTATGTGGGGGGGGGACGAGGGGGGATCCCGGGGCCCAGGCCTCAGTTTCCCCTTTGACAGCAGGCGGGCAGGGCCGCGCTCGCTCCCGGGTGGGTGCCGGGAGCGCCGGGTCCCTTGCGGTGGGGTTGGGGGGGCCGGTGGCAGGCGCCCCCTCTCTCCGCGGGGCGCCCGGGCAGGTGCGGGGAGCAGTGGGGGGGCTCGCTCCGACCCGGGCCCTGCCTTGGGGGGGTTGGCGTGGGGCCGCGGTCACGAGCGGGACACTTCCGGCGCCCCGCGGTCCTCGCGGCCCCCCAGCATCCTGGCTGGCGGCGAGGGCGCAGCCACCCACCCGGGCCCCCGGCCTGGAGCCCCCCGGAAGCCTCCTCGGTTAGCGGGCGCGGGTGGGGACCGGAGAGGGCGGAGGAGGAGGAGGAGGAGGATGCGCCTTCCCGCTGCCATCTGGCACCGCCTGGCCTGGCCGCTGACCGGCTGCTGCCCACCGTGCTGGTGCCAGCCGGCTCCGAGAGGGGTTCAGGCTTCCTCCGCCGACCCCGCCCCCCACCTCGGTTTCTGCTGCTGTCCCCTCCTCCCTCCGCCCTGGCCAGGTCAGCGCCGGCTGCCCGGGACCCCGCGCCGACTGGACTGCCGGGTGCAGTGGGGCGCGGTGAGCTGGCTGGGGACAGTCGGAGCCAGAAGGGACAGCCTGGCCCGGGCTGGAGCCTCCCCTGCCCAGAGCGGGTGGCCGCAGGTGTGGGAAGTTTGCCGGGACTGTCCCCCTCCTCTTTTCCTGCTGGTGGACCCCACCTGGGGCTGCAGCCTGCCAGGGTTCTCGGTCTCCTCACTGCTCCCCTTTGGGGGGTACCGACCCCACCTCCACCTGGAGTCCACGCCTGCACCCTGTCCCGACCCGTTGGGAATCGCTCCCTTCAACAGTCGGTCGTTCCTTTTTGTTGGGGGCGGTTGGGGGTCACCTTCTGGTGGTGCTGGGGTGACCCTGTGGTGCAGGGGATGGAGCCTGGCTGGGCCCCGCCCGCAGCCCTCTCTCCCTCTCTTCCTCTCCTCCTTTGAGTCTTGTCTGGAAGAGTCTGGAAGAGTCTGGAATCCGCCTGTTTTCCCCAGACTCTGGGTATTACCCGTCATTCCTCGCACAGACCCGAGTGAGACACAGGCACCAAATGGCCTTCCAGGCAAATGCCTGCCTCAGTTTCCCCCCTGGCTCTTGAGGGCAGTGAAGCTCGCTTACCCAACCCGAGTTGGGTGAGGCGGGGGCTTGGGGGTTCCCTGGGGAGGTGTCTTGGACACTGAGCCGTGAGTGACTGTGGCTGCGTTGGATTCTGCTCTGGGGCTTGTGGGTTGGGGTGGGGACAACGCTACCAGTGGTGGCTCTGACAGGTCCTCAGGAGCTTGGAGATGCCTGTAGCTGTCAGGGCTGCGGGTGGGGGCGGGGGTGGCGACTGGGGACTTGGGTGCTGACACACGCCCTGGGGACAGAGCAGGGGCTAGCGGGGCTAAATTCCCCACGTGGGGTCCAGAACCTCCAGGAGTGACCCAGTGTGACCCCCCCCCGGAATAGCCCCTGAGAAACGTCAGGTGTGTGTGACCCACAGGAAGTAGAAAGGCTCCCAGGTTCTCGCGGGGCAGGTGGGGTGCTGGTCAGGGGATCTGGGGAGCACAGGTGCTGGGCTCCTTGCAGGGAAGGAGCAAGGAAGTGAGGGGTTTGCGGGGCGGGGGTCCTTCTGAGACCCTCCCCTCCCCCCTTCACCCTGGCCTCCCCCCACCCACCGATTCTTTCCTTCTGCGCCTTCCCCCCCACCCCTTCTTCCCTGGCCCTTCCCTCCTGTCCCTTCTCCCCTGTCCTTCCCCCCACTTCCCTCCTGCCCCTTCTTGCAGGAGGCTGCCAGCCCGCCCCTCCTCCATGGGATCTGGTGGCAGGGATGTCACTGTTTCTTCTCCAGAACGGGCGCTGCCCGCCCACCTCACTCCTCAGCCACCACCTGGTCCAGCTCCTCTCCCGTCCAGCCTCCTCCCAGGCTAGTCCTTCCCGCAGCTTGGCCCAGAAGGTTCCCCGAAAAGCTGGCGCGGGGCCTTCCCTCCACCCACAGTCGGCCAGAGACCCCCCCACCCAGATCTGGGCCTGGCCCCTTCCTCCTGTCTACTCCCTTCAATCAGAGCCTCTCATTTGCCTGGCCCCTCCCTCTGCGTGTACCCTCTCCAATCAGAGTCCCCCACTTGCCTGGCCCCGCCCTCTCTTCCTACCCCCTCCAATCAGAGCCTCTCATTTGCCTTGCCCCTCCCTCCCTATCTACGTCCTCCAATCAGAGCCTCTCACTATCCTGGCTCCTCCCTCCCTGTCTACCCCCTCCAATCAGAGCCTTCCATTTGCCTGGCCCCTTCCTCCCTGTCTACCCCCTCTGATCAGAGCCTCCCACTTGGCCGGCCCCCTCCCTCTCTGTCTATCCCCTCCAATCAGGGCCTCCGTTTGCGTGACTCCTCCCTCTTTGTCCTTTCCTCTCCAATCACGGTCTCTCACCTACCTTGCCCTGCCTCCTCGTTTTTCTCCCTCGCCAATCAGGACCTCCCACCTGCCTGCTTCTCCCTGCCCCAGGGCCTTTGCACGGTCCCTGCTCTACTGCTTCTTGTGGATCCCTGGGGCCCCCTTCCCCGACCCTTCTGCCTTGCTGCACCCTCCTCCATCCCCTGTCCTGCCCTTCCCTGTCACCTAGCACTTAACCACATGACAGGGCTCTGCTGGCTGCACTGACGTCCTCAGCCCTCCTGAGCAACTTCCCCAAGGGATCCCAGCACTGCCTGGAGTGGGCCTGGAGGGGCAGGTGGGGCTGCCCTCTGGGACATCCCCTTGACCCAGGTGGTGATGTGAGGTGATGGAGTTCCTCACCTGTTGTCCCCTCAGGGCTCCTGGCCTGGGGCCGTACCTTTGTCACTGCTGCAGGGTGCGCTTCTGGGGGACTGTGTGCCTGCTTCTTCCGGCAGCCGGAGCTGTGCAAGGGGGCGGGGCGTTCAGAGCTGGGAGCTGGGGTCAGGATAGAAGTGACAAGACAAGTGGCTCTGTCCTGGATCTGTCACTGAGCTTTCTGGGCTGTGGCCCTCTGTCCCCCACTCTTCCCCGGGCCTCAGCAGGGAGGGAGACTACGCTGTCCCCAGCCAGAGCTGTAGAGTGAAGTGAAAGGGTGTGGCCTTGAGGCAGACCAGGGCAGCAGGTGCAAAGGCCCTGGGGCAGGACCACAGTCCCCACCCCTGTGATCTGGGGGTTGCAGTGGTGTGAGGGCACTAGCAGTGAGTGTGCTGGGGACCAGGACCCCATGAGTGATAGGCGGCAGGTGGGGACTGGGAGGGGGAGCGGAACTGAGGCCTTCCGATCTTTCTGCAGGATGAGGAAGCAAGGTGGCATGGCCTGGGGTGCCCACACTATGTCTCAGACAGCAGACCCAGACCCTACCCGATGGACCCGGGGTGTGCATTGCTCTGGGGTCAGGCAGAACCCACTGACAAGCAGCTGTGGGGGCGCAGGGCCCAGGGACACCCATGGGCCCTGGCCTACTGCCGCGTGTCTCCTGACCAGCTGTGGGCCCCACCCTGGAGATCCCCTACCCGCCACCATCTGAACCTGGGGGCAGGGGGGTGGCAACTGTCTGCGGGGATCAGTCACACCCTCAGGGTTCCCTGGAGGACTTAGGGTCCCTGGGCCCACGGGGTGGAAATTTGGGGGCTTGATGAGGATTTGGGGACGGGTGGGCAGGAACCACAGCATTGGGTCACCATGGTGCCCTTGTCAGACCCAGGCGCCTTTGGGGAAGTGGCCCAGCAGGGCCTGGGGGCTGGGCGGGGCCAGGCCACTGTGTCATGCCAAGCACACACGCGTGTGCGTGTGTGCGTGCGTGTGTGTGTGTGTGTGTGTGTCTGTCTGTCTGTCTGTCTTCTGGGGGTGAGCCCCACCACAGGCACAGAAGCAGGACACCCACAACACATGAGGTGACGGAACTGCCTCCCAAGGAGCGAGGCGGAGGTGGGCCCAGGGCAGGCACATGCAAAGGTCCTGTGATAGCCTGATGTGGGAGGAAGTAAGGGAGGGCAGGAAGAGGCCTGCAGGTCCTGGAGGACATTGGGATGTATGTGTCTGGGGGTGTTTGCCCACTAGCCCTCTTGGGGCAATCTAGGGGATGCCAGGTGGGCACTCAGTGAGAGCACCTTTGTGGCGCTAAAGTTCTGGGATTGGGGTGAGGGAGGGGGAGGTTGGGACTGGGGAGCCCATTGGCTTCTGGAAGGTTCCCCGGCTGCGGTGTCCTCAGTGGCGGGGGCCAGGGGGTGTCTCTGCGCGGTCCCTGCTTGGGCAGGTTGGGGGCGTGCTTGCTTCCACATGGTTCTGTGGGTCTGGGTCGGAGCTGGGCGTGAGTGGTAGTGGCAGGACTCAGCCGCATCATTGGCGCCCTGAGCCCCCAACCTCGAGCCCCTCCTCTGGGCCCTTCTCTCCCCAAGGTCCAGTGTCAGGCTGGAGGTTCACTTGGTTTTGGTTTCGGTTTTTGGGTCACACCTGGGTGGACTCTTGGCTCTGTCCTCAGGGATCACT